CAACAGTACAACCCTGCCCCCAAACCTTGAACTAATGCCCTCAGGATTCAAGACCAGGAAGCCCATACCCCGGCGCCCTGAACCCTAAAACACCGAAGACCCAAACAACATGATACCCAAACCCTAAACCCTGAACCCCTAAACCCCTAACCCCTAAACCCTGAACCCTAAACCCTAAACCCTCAACCCTAACCCTATAAACTGCCCCAAGCCCTAGTCGGGCCCTATAATGATGCCCTTTACCGTCTGCAGACCGTGAAGCCGAGGGTCTAGGGTCTAGGGTTTAGGGTTTGGGGTTTAATGGTTTAGGGATTAGGGTTTTTGATTCGAGGTTTGGTTTGGGGTGTAGGGTCCGAAAACCTAAACTGCGATGCTAACGCCCAAAGCTTGAAACCAATACTCTCACGCCCTCAATTCCTACACCGCAATACCTCAAACCGCAGAAGCTTAAACCAAAAGCACAATCCTAGTTACACCCTATAGAACCCTTAACCCAAAAATCCTAGCCCCTAAAGCCCCAAGTAAACCTTCTGAAGCCAGGCGACTCGCTTCATTGCCACGTCGAGCAACTCGAGTCCTGCATTTCCTGAGTGGCGAAATCAAGATTTGTCTAGGTTTTGTGTTCGTTTAGGGTTTAAGGGTTCAGGTTCTAGTTTTCGGAGGTTAAGGGATTATAAGGGTGTCGTTCGATGTTTGGTCTACGTTTAGAGTTTTTAGTTTAAGGACTCAAGCCGTCCACACCTAAGAAAGAGGGCGTCTTACGCATTTATGACTAGAGTTGTTCAGACCTCTATGCTCTGCTCAACAGGTCGCCAATGGTATGGGGTACAAATCTAGCCGGAGGCGTCAGAACTTAAGAGCATGGGGACAGAAACGCGTCAACAAACACCCCTAGGGGCCATCTTTATATAAGTGAGCGAACATCTCTAGAGGAAGATATTAAGACATAATTTCTAACATAAGCAGACACACAATGTTTTTTTTGCCACGCAGCGAGCCCGAAAGCACCGAATATGAAGTCCTGTCGGATCCCAGCATTATCCCAAAACCTATGGGTATTAGGGATTGGGGTTTAGGATTTGGGGTTTAGGTATGATTTATCTCGTTAGTCTCGAAGACAACTTGAGCTGTGTGGCTGTCCAGGTGTGCCAGGAGAGCAGAGAGAAGAGAGCCAACCTGAATCAGCGCGGATGGCTGGCGTTTGTAAGCACAGACACTGGCGACTTGGCATGATGGGCCCTAAACCCTAAACCCTAAACCCCTAAACCCTAAACCCTAAACCCCTAAACCCTAAACCCTAAACCCCTAAACCCCTGAACCTTAAACCCTAAAGGAACCCTCTAAATCCCCTCCCGAATCCTTAAAGGAACCCTCTAAAGGAAGTCTTAGGCTCCCGATTGCACTAAACCCAGAGCCCTAAACCCAAAGCCCTGTTTCCTGAACCCCCCACCCGTGAACCCCATTTCCTCAACCCTAAGCCCTCCCTAGGAACCCTACATCCCTACGTCACCAAAGTAGCCCAAGAGCCTCATATACTAGGGTCTTTGGGCCAAAAGCCTTAAGATATGAGTCCTTTGAGGGTAAGGGTTTGAATTCAACTCGAAACCCTAAACCCTAAACCCCTAAACCCTAAACCCTGAACCCTAAACCCTAAACGCACAGAGATCGGAGAACTGGGAGTCAGGCCAGCACTACCACGCGACCGTGGAGGGCAGCGCGGAAGGTGCCCGCCAGTGCTAGCTCCTCGCGTCTTAAGCTTTAGAATAAGGTTCCGTTTAGTTTAGGGTTTAGGGTTTAGGGTTCAGGGTTTAGGGTTTCGGGTTTAGGGTTTAGGGCCGAGGGTTTAAGAGTTCCTTACATGGGGGGGTCTTGTAATTTACAAGGTTTCGGAATTCAGGTTTATTTCGGGCTTAGGGTTTAGGAACTGGGGTTTTCGGTTTAGGAATTGGGGTTGAGGGTGCAGGGGTAGACAGCCCAAGTCACCTTGAAACAGGGAACATAGCTTTGGCTTATGATTCAGACCTTTCGGGCCGAAAAACGGGGCCCAAATAATCGCCTATACTATTGTGGGAATTCCTTATTATAATTAGAGTTTAATATACCCCAAACCTTCTTCTAATCATTCAAGCCCCTACACAACGCATCCCCAATAAAAGCCTCATGGTTCCCGTCAAAGGGAGCCTGCCAGGATCCCTACCCATAGGCCCCATAGTAGTTCCTTTTTGTGGCGTATATCTAAGATCTCATTAGGGAATCCCAACAAGTAACTACTATGGGGCCTATGGGTAGTTCTAATTATCAAGGCCCCTATGCTACGGTCAAGGAGGGCTCAAGACCCCGTGATTCAAGTGCAGGCGGCTCTCAGGAAGAAGCGCAGGGTTCATTCTTCCATGTGCAAGCGCGAACCCTAAACCCTAAACCCTCAATCCAAAACCCAGGTCGGATCCCCTCAACTGGAAGTTTGAATCCTAAGCCCCTAACCCTAAAGCCTCAACTGGGCTTCGCCCCCGAGTTCCAACGGCATGAGCCCAGATCAAAATAAGTCCTGGGCTGCAGAAGCGATTGCAGCGAACCAGTGCCTGAGTGGTGCTTGCTAATATAGGGGCCTTAATAATTAATCAGAAATGGATTTGGGGGGGGCCCTTTTTACTACAAGTATAATAAGGAACCCCTAAAATCTTATAAGTAATTATTTAGGCCTCTACATTAGTCGGCTTGGTTGCTTCTGTCATTGCGTTTGAACGGCTCTTTCCAGAGTTCAGGTTAAATATAGGGGTCTAAAGAATTACCAATACTATTTTGGTGGGTTCGTTGTCATATTTCTAGTATAATGGACCCCAATAGCCCATTCTAATAAGGCCCCTTACATGGGTATATAAGACTAAAGTAATATTAAGGAACCCCCAAAACCTCAGGGTTCAGGGGTTGGATCTGAGGGTTCAGGCTGCTTCAGGAATCATGCAAATGGGGTTTAGGGTTTAGGGCCTTGATGATTAGGGGCATATACTGTATTTGTATTCAGGAACCCCCTAAACCCAAAACCCTAAAGCCAAAGTAATATAGGCAATTAGTTAGGACGATATATTAGTATGCCTGGTGTGTTATATGTCGGGTCCTTCCTTGTAGCTTTGGAATCGGATCGGAAGCCTCAACCCTTTAACCCTGAACCCAAAACACTAAATCCTACATCCTTAAGGTTCGAGGCCCAAAACCCAAAACCCTAAATCCTAAACCCTTGAATCCTAGGCCCAAAATCCTAAACCCCTGAAGCAGGTTTGCATTTAGGGCCTTGGGGGTCGAAGCCCCCGGCCCTCCGGACAACCCGGCAGGATCTGAAGATATTGTGGCTGGCAAAACCATCCCGAAAGCCCTGGGCCTCGCCCCCCACATGCGCGACAAGAAATCTCCTGAAAACCCACGGAAACCTTGACGACCATACCAAACTGCCCTGCTTCTACAAAGCAGACACCCTAAACCCTAAACCCTGAAGACTAAAGCCTAAAGCCTAAACCCCAAACCTTAAACCCCTACACCCCAAAACCCTAAACCCTAAACCCCTAAACCCTAAAGAAAGCAGACAAAGGAGCTTGTCGTCGCCCACGGATCCCTCGGCCGGGTTGGCGCTGTTCTTCGGCGTGGAGCGCAGCACGGTCAGGACCTATGCAGAGGCTGAGACCCATGGAGAATGTTGGTCTGACCGTTTGTGGTTTAGGGCCTATTTAGGGCTTATAGGATTTTTAGATTTTTGTTTCGTTTCTGATAGTTAGTTTATGGTTTAGGGTTCACTTAGGGTTCATAGGGTTTTTAGACTTTTGTTTTGTTTCTGATAGTTACTTTAGGGTTTAGGGTCTATTTCGGGTAAATAAGGTTTTCAGACCTCTATATACTTCTATGTATGGAGGTTGGGGCTGAAGTGATTTCAAAGAGCTGTTCTGGCAGCGCCTTTGAGGGCTGACGGCAGTGTTCGAGACTACATTAGACGTCCGGCGACGAGGATTTTTAAAGACGTCATGATAAGTTAGGGTTTAGGCTTTATGATTGCGACGGTGTTGTGTGGATGGGTGACGGGTCTGGCAAGGAAGCTTCAGGTGCAAGAAGGGAGCGATGAAAACCCCAATCATTACCAGAAGTTATAATCAGCGTGATCATGGAGCTATCTCTTCCTACTCATGGTAAGATCACCCTACTAAACCCTAAACGACAGAAAACCATGGCCGTCCCGGCCCTAAACTCAACTCAGGACCCTCCTAAACCCTAAAACCTAAACCCTAAACCCTAAACCCTAAACCCCTAAACCCCTAAACCCTAAACCCTAAACCCTTTTCGCCAAGGCACCCAGTCTCTGACCATCTTCACCTGGCAGCTTCTGGGGCGTCTTGGAACCACCATGGCTTAGGGTGGGTAACATAGGGGCCCTAATAATTCGAATAGGTTTAGGGTTTAGGGTTTAGGGTTTAGGGTTTAGGGTTTAGGGTTTAGGGTTTAGGGTTTAGGGTTTAGGGTAGTTCTCTAAATTAGGGTCCCTTTTGGGGGGTCCTTTTTATGAGGGTGCCGTACTATATTGGGGACCTAAACAGGGACCCTTTTTAGAGAACTACCCATTTACAGGGTTATGACACATCTTGGGAGTTAAGCGCTCAGAACTGCCGACTACAGAACCCGACATACGATTTCTGCGTATGCGCTGTGTACCTGGAGCGCAAAACCTGAACCTTAGAGAGTCGAGACTTGGGCTCCTAAAGCCAACATATATTAGGGTTTAGGGTTTAGGGTTTAGGGTTTAGGGTTTAGGGTTTAGGGTTTAGGGTTTAGGGTTTAGGGTCAACCAAAACTTGGGGTTTCGGGTTTAGCGTCGCTTTCGGTGTGTTCACATGTTTAGCTCAGCGCTGGCCTGCCACGAGGTATTTCCACAGCACCGGCCATAATAAATCTTAGCCTTCTTAAGTTCAAGCAAAAAGTATCCCCAGTTCGGAGCAACCACCAAGTGCAGCAAGAGTGGCAAAGTCAACGTCTTCGATGTATCTCCTGGGTTGCAACTTGTATGGTTTGGATTCATGGTTTAGCGCTGTGGGCTGAGAGTCTAGGGTTTAGGGTTTAGGGTTTGCAGGACCAAGGTAAGGTGGCTTCAAAGGCGCGTCCTGGTGCTGTTTTCATGTGCTGGAGAGAAACTGACCAATTGAAAAGCCCTCCGCCCTCCGAGGCATTGGCAAACCTGTGCTAAGAGTCAGATTCACAGGATATGCCTTTCGCAGCTCATGATGCACCACGAAATGCCAGCACGGCACTGCCAATTCAATCGTATCAATGGAAGGTCCGTCAAAGCACAATCTGGAAACCAAATGAAGTATCTTAGATCCCTGTTCTGGCAACTTAAAAAGTTCCTTAACAAGAATAACAAGCCTAAGCCCTAAACCCTAGCAAGCCTCTTTCCTACATGCGACATCCCAAACTCAGTCCAAGATAGGCAAAACTTGAAGATGGGCTCCAGCTCCGAGACTTACATTACTTCCAAGAGTCCCTTGCAAACAACTTCAATGAACCCGGCACACCCGTTTTAGGCATAAAGTCCTGGTCTCTGAGAAATGGTTCTGTTGCCTACATAAGGATCTCATGCTCCAAACATGATATGTTAAACATCCTCATCGAACTCCAGTCAGAGCCAGGGCCCCGTGAAGACTGTTACTTGGTTCGAGCTTAAAGTGTAGGGTGGAGCAACAATTAGGGCCTTAATAATTAGAATAGGGTTTTTGGGTATATTATACGGTAAATATAAGAAGGAACCCCAAAAATAGTATGGGTAATCGCTATATTATACCTAGGACCGAAGCACCGAAGCAACATATGTTCTGAACTCACAGCAACTTGTCTGGTTGCAAGCAAAGCTCAGCATCAGCTGGATCTGCTTCTGCAGGTCATCTGGGCGCCGAGAGTGAGGATACCTCGGTGGATCTATGATTCACCTGTGGCTACACATTCTCTCTGTGTGTATCGAGCTTTGGCATTAAACCTTACTTGGAGGTTCATGGGTAGTTAGAAGTAGTGTCATAAGTCCCTTGATATGGGTCATAACTGTAGTTACTCTAATCATGACCCCACTTATAACTACCCATGAACCTGCAAGTAGACGACCCTGAACCGTATGCTAGACCCTCTGAAGCTCGGGAAGAACCTGCGGAACACTGATAGAATTAGCCCTGCGGTAGGTAGTCTGGACCTACCTTGTATTACAGGGACCCCATCAAGTCCATAAGAATCTATTTATTTGGGGCAGGCAAAAACTAGTTTATGGCAGGCTTTTATATATAGGGTAGACTGTAGCTTCCGATATCTGAACTGCACACGCAACTCCAACACCTAAATGTCAGCCTCCTTAAACCCTGCTAACGCAACCTAAATCCTAAACCCCTAAAACCCAACACCCTAAAACCCAACACCCCAAAACCCTAAACCCTAAAACCCTGAACCTTAAAACCCTGAACCCTAAACCCTAAATCCCAAATCCACCCTTCTCGATCGAGGCACATAAGGCGAGAGAGCGAGGAGCGGAAGCAGCTGCGCAGCAGCTTAGGGAACTCCAAGCCCTCCACCACATCCTGGGCTTCGGAGGTTTAGGGGTTTTAGGGGTTTTAGGGTTTAGGGTTTAGGGGTTTAGGGGTTTAGGGGTTTGGGGGTTTGGGGGTTTAGGGTTTAGGGCTTAGGGTTTAATATAGAGGCCTTAATAATCACCTGTACTATTTGGGGGGGGGTCCTGATTATAAGGGTAGTTCTACTCTGCCCCAAAACACTACTCGAATCAAACGAATAAGGCCCCGACAGCACCCTAAACCCAAAACCCTAAACCCCAAACCCGGGGTTTTTAGGGTTTAGGAGCTTTGGGTGTTTAGAGGTTCAGGGTTTCAGGGTTTAATGTTTGAGGGTCCAGGAGTTTTAAGGGCGTTCGGGGTTTAGGGCATTGAGGGGGCCTTATAAGTCTAGAGGCTTTGGATTTGGGGATTAGGCGTTTAGGGTTTAGGGTCTAGGGTTTAGGGCTCATCGGGCTCTGGAAATTATACGAGACATTAGCCTTCATGAGCCCTTTAAGGTGATTGATGTCGGCGTTGCTGGGGCCCTACTTGTTGCTTCCCCAATTAGGGTTTAGAGTTTAGGGTTTAGGGCGAAAGACATTCAGTTTCAAGCAGTCAGAATAAACCTCTATACTCAATCGCAAAGAAAAGGGAACAAAGTCTTGAGCCCTCAACTGCCTGAAGCCTTCCCCTCCAGAATTTATGGTTTTGGGGGGGGCCACAGGCTCGGAAGCCTGACAGTAGCCTTGGGCTTGGGACGTTCAGGCTGCCTCAGGCGGGACCATACAGTCGTAGGGTTTAGGGTTTAGGGTTTGGGGGGTAGGATGGGATCACTGCGGAAGCTACTTCAGCTTAACTTTCATCAGCCAAGACGCAATCAAAGGCATGTTCAGCATGGCCTCAGTGATCGTACAGAAAGCCCGGTTCCTTCAAACCTACTCTGAAACATAAACAAGAAGGCTTAAAACCGTAAAGCCGAAACCCTCAGCCGTAACAGCCCTAGATGACAGTGGCGAATGCTAAAAGCTTCATGGAGTTGAGCTGAAGTTCTAAAGCAAAGCCTGCTATACCAGGAGGAATGGAGGGCACAAACGCACAAACTTCTTCAATTCAAGCAGATTACAAGACTCTGCACGTTCTGTCAATCTCATTGATGGTTTAGGGCTTAGGGTTAAGGGTACTTAATAGGATTTCGTTGTGAGCTCGACGGGCTCCGCAGCCTTAACAGGGTCGCCAAAGGCTTTCTGGAGGTTCTTAAGGATCTCTTTGGATTCCATCCCCTACCTTGGGAGCTAGGATTAGGGGGACCCTTGGGGATAGAGACCCTCTCAATAAGGTCCCTTTTCAGAGAGCCAAAAGTAGGGTTCAGAAGGGGTGCCCTTTAAGGGGTACCCCCAATAATACTACTTATACCTCTACAGAACTGTCATGATCATCATTTCTCTTGCTCGCGCTGGTTGTTCCTTGTGTCTAGTAATGTAGGGGCCTCAGTTATTAGAATAGGGTTTTGGGGCCCGTTATACTATAATTGTAATAGGGAACCCCCATAATAGTACAGGTAATTATTAAGGCCCCTACGGTACGCTGGAGAGCTACGACCATGGCTTCTAGCCAGTGGCCACGCTCTACGTGATGTCACGGTCGCTCTCTCCGTCTCTACTTCTCCCTCTCACTCTCTATTGCCTTTCTCTCTTCTCCCTCTCTCTCTCTCTGACTCTGTCTGGCCTAGAATCCACTGCGACCTTGTCAGAAACATCCCGAAAAGTCCCTGAACCTTATGTCCTATGTACTCCGAGTCAGATTCTGAAACCCTGAATCCGCCACACTCAACGCTAAACCCTAAACACAACCCACCCTAAACCCTAAACCCTAAACCCTAAACCCTAAACCCTAAACCCTAAACCCTAAACCCAAACCTTAAATACATTCAAACCTCAACACTTACAGCCGAGAGCCTTTTTAGGACCTTTCTCAGACCCCTCTAAGCCCTGTGCAACCCCACAAACAGAAGGAACCCCAAAACCTAAACCCCAAACCCGAAAGTCTTATACAATCAGATGACATACTACTAGACAAACCCCTTCCTTAAAGGGAACCCTATCATCGAACCTTTCGAAGCCCCTAGAGACGAGTTGCTCCTAGGGATGGCATGGAGCTCAAATCCGCAGAGGGCTCCACTGAGTCCTTCCCGGTGAGTGTTTGGGACTTTGAGGGTTTAAGGTTCAGGGATTAGGGCTTTGATGGTTTAAGGTTCAGGGGTTACGGTTTAGGCTTTGGGACTTTGGGCTTTGTTGGTTTAGGGATTTGGGGTTTGTAAGGGATTAATTAGGATTCAGGGAGTAGGACTTAGGGTTTCGTAGGTTTAGAGATTTGGGTTTTGTAAGGGATTAACTAGGATTTAGGGAGTTTCACGGCTTGGAAGGATCCCAGGTGCGTATGAAGGATTTTGAACCCTTACCCTCGAAGGACTCATATTTTAAGGCTTTTGGGCCCAAAGACCCTATTATATGAGGCTTTTGGGCTGCTTTGATGCTAGGGGAAAGGAGTCTAGAAGGAGTTGTAATTTTGCTCTGTGGTGTTAAGGGCTTAGGGTTTCTTTTAAGTGCGTTCAGGGAGGTGTTGGTTTCGTAGGGCGTTGTGTTTTGCTTTTAGGATATTCGGTTCTATATCATGTTGGGGCCGCTCCTCCTCCTAACTCCTACTCGGGCAAAGACCATCACTTCTGCTACTACGTAGCGCAACTATTACTTCAGAAGTCTCTTCTACTGTGGCGCCGAAAACCAGGTACCCAAAGGCATAATCTCGAAGCCCTGATCCCAACAAGCTAGACACCTCCCTCCCCCCGGGTCCAGGAAGACGGCGCTCCATTGAGAGTCGAAGTCGAAGGAGAACTTGCCGTCGTAGCCTGACGGCACTCTGGGACACGAAGGGCATTTTATTTGAGGCTCAGGGTTGAAGAATGAGGATCTTCGGGACACCGTGTCGTGCATTGACCACTGGACACGAGGAGGATGCTGATGGTCTAGTCTTGAAGTTACGGTTTAGGCTTTAGGGTTTAGGGTTTAGGGTTTAGGGCGGTCACCAGCATCATCAAGTTGATCATCAGGACAGATGCTGCTCCCTGCTAACGTTGACGATATGAAGCAGAACGGCAAAAACCCTAAGAATACGAAGTGCACTAAAACCTCAGCCCGAAGCAATAAACCACCAAATTCCAACAGCCCAAGCCCTAAACGCCGAACACTAAGCCTTAAGACCTCGAGCTACCAGCCGAGAATACCCCTTAAACCCCTGACCCCGAAACCCCAGGACACTAAATCGCAACAAAGCCCGAATGACTGGTAAGCCTCACACTGAAACTCTACACAAACCCCATGCCAACACCCAAACCCAGAAACCCCTGAGCCCTATACCCGTACTATACCCTCAACCCTTATGAGAACCCTTATAGAACCCCGTCAGATCCCTTAAATTAAGGCCCCCCCCCCCCCCCCAATCACAGCCCTAACGGCCGAGATGCCACGCTGCAAGTGCACCACTAGAACCACGAACATCGAGCCTTCGGGGGTTTAGGGTTTAGGGTTCGGGGTTTAGGGTTCGGGGTCTAGGGTTCGGGGTTTAGGGTTCGGGGTTTAGGGTGTAGGGTTCGGGGTGTAGGGTTTAGAGCGCCGTATTTCCCTTGATAACGGTACATATAGGATTGCATAAGGCTTATAGGGTTTGTAGGGCTTAAGATTTATGGGGCTTATCTGGTTGATCGGGATTTAGGGTTTAGGATTCAGGGTTTTCTGGGATGTCGAACATGGTCCACTTGGTGTTTAGGGTTCAGGGCTTGGTTGCTTTCTTGAGCTCGTTTCGTTCGACATCGGGATTGGGGTTTAGTTTTTTGTCTGTCCTAGGACAAACCCTATCGTCGCGCAATGCTAGTAATGGCTGCATGGTCCAGGATAGTCCTGAACTGCAAGATTATCCTATCTGGTTCAGCCAATGGTCGCCTTACTGACAATAAGACATCTTCCCCGTCCATCCAGGTCTTTGGTACGTCGGACTTCCTCAAGTCATAAATCCGTCGATACCTTAAGAACCCAAAACCTCCTTTTTTGTAGGGTCCCTATAAATCCCATATTAAGGTTTATAATAAGAACCTACAAAAAAGTAGGTTTTGGGTTCTTAAGGTAGGGTTTAGGGTGCTCTGGCCCAGGGCGCCCGTGGGCAACTCGAGCCAGAGCCGTCCAAATGCCGAGGCCAATCGAATGCGGAAGCGTGACGGTCGACCGGGCTCTTTGTAGGGTGGCTTCGGAGATAAGAACGAAGGATTGCAGGTGGAAGCCGGCAGAAACAGAGGGAAATGTAACCCTCAGTCCAGAAACCACCTCGACTCTAAATCTAACGAAAACCGCTTACAGGAACGCACCCAAGCCTTCCTCGCCCTTGCCTTTCTGGACGAAGCCGTTGCGAGCCTGCGCATGTTCTTCGCTCGAGGTTGTGGGCAGCAGTGTTGGTCTTTGAGCTGTACGACTGCAAGTATCAGTTTCGGGTTCTTGTGTACTCGCACCATTGATGCTATCCCTGTGCATGTTTCATCCACCATCTTCATTGGCTGTGCTGACACGATTTGCTGCATAGAAACGTTGAGCGAGATTGCAATGCATTCCGTTTACAGCAAGGACATATTGGAGTTGTCAAAACAACATCAAAGCCACCCTGACAGACACTCCATACTGTAAGGGCCAATTGAGCATCCTGACATTGGGAATCGCTATCGCAGCACGGGCCTCTCGAATCCTCTGCAACACTCCAGGAACCCGAAATAACAACCTCCATAGCACGGCTTGGAGTCTTCCCGGAGATAGATACGCTCGCTACTATGTTGCTGACGGCCCTGCTTTCCTTAACCCCGAACCGGTACGGCATCGGCTTAACAGTCAGTCTTCCAAAGGAACCCGACAGATTCATGGAGGAAAGCCCTTTTTCAACGTCCATCTTTCCACCTATCGGTGCCACCATAAGAGCCGAGTAAGGATAATAGACTTCGGGGCACCTTCTCGCACACGAAGCGGCAGTGCTCGATCATTCGCACGGAGGCGGCCACGGGATCCGCGTGGATGATCCTGAGCGCGCAAGCCACCGTTTGACAATGCCGCAGCGGTGTCTGGTGAACAAAGCTGGCTAATCACAGCCTCGACCCTGACCCCGCAACAGCTTTCTTGAGGTGTTTGCCCAAAATCAAGAACGCCCCACCCCAACTTTTGACCCCACCAGGGCAATTCACAAGTCTGCATTTAACTTGCCAGAAAGGAGCAAGAAGTTCTTCTTGCCAGACGTGTCTTGAAGGTTGTAGAAGTCATGAACGGCCTGTTGAAATGAGGTTAGGGCTTTGGGCCTGGCGTGCAGGGTTTAGGGCTTAGGGTTTAGGATTGGAGGTCTGAGGCTTATGGTACGGCGGGTTTAGGGTTCAGGGCTTAGGGTTTAGGGTTTTGTTACGTCCAGTCCGTCTTAATGTAAGCACTAGAGGAAAGTCCTCAACATGCCGGCCATTCCTAAGAAGCAATCAATAGCAGTTGCGGGTCATGATCGGACCATGCAGCCGTAGGACATGAATGATGTTGGTTTTGGCGGTGATGACGTTGGTGATGATGACGACGACGGCGATGACCATGACGATGACGATGACGATGATGATGATGATGATGATTGTGATGGTGAACGTGATGGTGATGATGGGTATCAGGATGCTGAGGATGATGAGGTTGATGATGAGGATTCGAGGATGTTGAAGGCGATCCGGATGAAGATGAACAATAATAAGATGATGATGCTGAAGATGATGAGGTCGATGGTGAGGGGGTGAGTGCGATCCGGATGCAGGTTCATAAGACGAATAAGACAAACATACTGATGATGATAATGATGATGGTGTTGATGTTGATGCTGAAGATGATGCTGAAGATGATGCTAGTGTGATGCTGACGAAGATGACGAAGAGGAAGAGCAAGAAGACGAAGGAGACAAGACATAAGAACACACAGAAGGCTCTGGTTAACATGTAAACTGCCCAAATGACATGTGCGCGACACTGCTAGATCAATGCAAAAAAAAACCGCACCCTCAAAACCTTAAGCCCCTCGAGTGCTCTCGACGTAGGCCTGGCTGAATTCCCCTATTCCCCGCGGCTTGAACAGATTAAATTGTGTACCCTCTTTCAGTATGGCGGACGCTGCCAAACAACTGCGGCCCTCGAGCCCGAAAATCCTCCACACCCTAGCCCCTAAAGCCCTGAACTCCACATCCTAGAACCCGATATACCACAGCAATCAAAGCACTCTTCGTCTAACGGTTTAGGGTTTAGGGTTTAGGATTTAGGGTTTAGCAATCAAACCAATCCGAAAATCCGACACAGAAACGAAGGCTCTCAGAGCCTTCTCGATGTCCGTGCTCGAGGACAGCTCATGCAAGGACACCTGTACTCTTGAAACTCCGAGACGATCGGGTCTCTAGTTTGTTTGTTTTTTTTTTTTGTGTGTGTGTCTCTGTGTCTGTGCATGCACATGTGTTTTCAGGGTTTTGAACTTTGGGTTTAGGGTTCAAGGGAGTGTCAGGCTCCGCTTAGGGTGGTTGGCAGAGGGACCTGCATGATTCGAACGGGGTGTCGGGGCGTACTGTAGTAGAACCAGAAAGCGAGTATGAGTGGACATTTAACCCTAAACCCCAAAACCTTAAATCACTAAACCCTAAACCTAAACCTTAATCCCTAAACCCTAAACCCTAAACCTTAACCCCTAAACCCTCAACCCTAAACCTTAACCCGTAAACCGTAAACCCTAAACCCTAAACCTTTGCTTATCATTCCGACCCCGACGTCAAGGGTTTAGGGCCAGGGCTGAAGGCCTTGGGGTGCAGGGCTCAGGTCTGAGCCCGGAGGACCAAGCCCTAAACTTAGGGTTTAGGGTCTAGTTAGGGTTTAGGGTTTCGGGTGTAAGGCTCAGGGTTTAGGGTTTAGGGTCTAGGGTTTAGGGTTTAGGGTTTAGGGTTAGGGTTCAGGGTTGGGGTTAGGGTTTAGGGTTT